GTACCAACAAGAGCTCCAAATAGTAGCTTGTCTTGACGAAACCAAGGAGGAAAGTCTGCATGGGGAGTGGATATACCATTTTTAATTGTCGTTTTTGGAGAGGGGAAGATGTCATTGATATATTTATAAAGATCCAGGCCATGAAGAATAGCTTCAAATTGAGTTTTCCAAGTGAGATAGCTTGTGGAGGAGAGTTTTAGGGAAGGTGGGAATTAAACAAGAACTAATGATGGTTGTACTGAGAGGGAGTGTGGGGATTACAGTGGATGAGGAACTCAAACTAGAAGACATAGTGGTTGATAATTTGGAAATGTAGGTCTTCTTTTGTTGATACCATATAAGAGAATGAATAGAAAGATAATTTCATTCAGTTGATAATAGGTACGTATACACAAGAGATCCTAGATATTAGGATATGTTACAATAAGAAGGAATACAAATTCAAATAGACTAAGGTGTTGTTTGTTTTTTGTCTGCAGATCTGCGTGACCACTTCTGTCTGCGTTGCGCAGACCACGTGCAAACATATGTCCTCGCAGACCGTTTGTTTTTTGAAAGTGCGCAGACCTAAAAACGTCTACGCGAGGTCTTCTTGGCGCAGACATGAACCAATGTCTTCTAAGGTCTTCACAAGTCCAATAAACCGAAACCAAAACAAATAAAAAAACCATACACATTTTTTTTTCTTTCGGCACCTCCTTATCCATCATATTGAAAAATATAAGTGATTATAACTTTTTTATTTTATGTTTATTTAATTATTAATGTATATATCTGTTTATTGATTTTTTTTCAATAATATTAAAAGAAAAAAATAGAACATTAAAACCATGTTTCTACTTTTATGATGTGCGATTAGAATTAAAAAAAAAATGTGATATGTCTATTGTTTAAGACCAAAACAATGAGTTATATTAAAGTATTTATAAAAGCATTGCATTTTGATTCTAATTTGAATTATATAAGCCATTAATAATTTTTGTATTTATAAAAGCATTGCATTTCGATTCTAATATGAATTGTTATTGTAAAACCATTTTTTTATTGTATTACTAATTTAGTTGCATGAATTTTATTTTAAGTGTTGTATGACTATTATTATTAAAATTTTTGTGTTGAAAAATCATTTAAGTTTGTAAAATCATTTTATTTAAAATTCAGTTTATTTCAGCAGCCTGCAGACGTTAAAAAACAAACAGTCTTTCTATTGTAGACTGCAGACGTTTGGTCCACCTCTTCAGCTGCAAATGCTTGCAGATGTGGTCCGCAAACTGCAGACCTTTTGGCTTCAGAAAAACAAACAACACCTAAGTCTATCATTATCTATACAAACGAACATGTGGATAATCGAGAAGTAGAGATGATTTTACGTGATATGGATAAATCAAATAGACTCGGATGGGCTAATAGGTTGCGGACCACGTCACATCGCCAAAATAATATTTGTGTTCAAAATATCACAAATCCAAACTCGAAAATCATAAGATTTGAACCAAATGTGAACACAAAATCATCCTGTGATAGAGTCCGGATAATAAATAATCTGGAACCGGCAAACATCTAGTAATGCAAAAATTTGATCAGTGAAGACCAAAAATAAGTGCCACATCGCACAACTAAATAAACCATCGTCTGCAGAAGTCTTTAAAAATCCAAACTCAAACAGTCATAAGAATCAAATTCGGATATCAAAGATCAACGAATCATCGGGATGGAGAGCATCGGATACCATGAGCTAAAAAAGCTCTCCCTAGATGTATGAAGGGTCTCAATAAGACATGAGAAATAGAGTAAAAGAGAAACTATGTGGTCATGAGAATATGGGTGATTTGATTGCTGAAGTTGCACGAACAAATACCATAGAAAGAAGAATCACTACATGAAAAATAATCTCTGTTGTGCCGAAAATATTCCGAAATACCCAAACTGCGATGCCGAAACTCTCGAAGTGGTCTTCAATAGAAAATAAAGTCCATATGCTCAAGATACATGATTCTTCAACCTAAGATCAAGAGCGCCAAGTCATAAAATCCCATAAAGTGAAGAACGCGAAACAACTTTATTGATTAATCGCCGTTGCAGTGCAAACGTCACAAAAAATAATAGGAAATCCGACTGCGGTATAGAGTAATCTTCCAAAATAATTGGCATTATGTAAACCAATGTGATTATCCAAGGTTCAGTTGTGGAAAAAATTGGTATTTTAAAAAAAATTGATTTTAATAATAAAATTTGGCTAAATAAAAAATTGATGTTAAAAAAATAATCGGCTAAATAAAAATAATTGTTGTTAAAAAAATAATTAATAAGAAATAATAATAATAATAATAATAATAATAATAATAATAATAATAATAATAATAATTGGCTGAACAGAAAAAATGGAGTTTAAAAAATGGGTTAAAAAAAAGGGAGGTAGAGAAGAAGAAAGGGGGGAAAGAGGAAGAAGAGAAGAAGGGAGGAGGGGGAGGAGAAAGGTGAAAGGAGGGAGGAAGAAAGAGAAGGTAGGAGGGTTAAAGGAGTGAGAGGAAGGAGGGTTAAAGTTAAGGAGGGCCGGAGGGAGGAGAAGGGAATTGAGGGTCAGAGGTGACTACTGATGGAAGGAGGTTGCGGTGGGAGGAGGGTGTGGATGGAGCTGGCGAATGGAGAGGTTGCGGTGCGAGACCGCGATAGGTTAAGAAGCAAGCGAAATGCGGTCAAAATGGTTGCAGTCAGTGGATGCGGTCCGAGACTGCAGTGGAGGAATGACAGCGGACCGAAGTGAAGTGGGCGAGTGCCTGCGGATCAGGACTTTGGTTCGAGGCTGCTGTCCGACCAAGAGAAGAGGACTACAGTCAGGAAGGGAAGACTTCGGATCCTCCGATGGGTTAAGAGGTTGCGGACCAAGACCTAATAAGGGCTGCGAGGAGTCTTTTGAGAAGGCTCCGATAGGTAGTTTTTGGCTGCGGTTCGGGGGTCCGAGAAAGGCTGAACAGATGACGAAAAATGCTATTTTTCATA